GTCCATTCAAGGTTTAATAATTAGTCTTTTTATTTAGGCACTCTATTTTTTTAAAATAAAATATGGAGTTTAAGTAATGTTCTTGCCTTACCCTAACATGTCACTTCTTCAATAATCACGTGAAATTTTAGACATCTTTCTGACATTTGATTTTTTGATAAAAAGATTAAAATACTCACGTTTTAAATTAAAATAATAATTACTTGTTTGTTTTAATCATCACAAAAAAATAATTATTATTTAACTTAAAGTAATTATGATTATTTATAATCCTTAAATTTTAATCAATAAAAATTTTGTACATGTAAAGTTTTAATTACTTGTTTTATTTTATTTTAATTATTTTTAAAATAAAAGTTATTATTACTTAAATTTAAATGGTCATGGCTTTATGTCAGCACTGGGCACAATTTCTCTCCTAGGTTTCCCAAATATGAGTGGGTCGCCACGAACTGCACTGCAAAGGCAAACTCTGCCTGGGGCTCCCCCTTCCCTCATCACTGGAGGGATCTTCGCATGATGGCAATGCAATCGACAGGTCTCTTTTCTCGGCTTAGGTCGGGTGAGAACGAGAGGCAGTTTTGGCGCGTTTGGTTAATGTGTCTGTATGGGGGTGGGTGAGTAGATGGAATCGAGACGTGATGGCAGAAATTCTAAAGCATGGAGGATCTATGAAACAGAGGTGGTAGGTGATCATCAGATTTGGAGCGGATTGCGTGATAGAGTTGGGCTACAGGCGACTAAAAATGGGAGGCACTCTGATGGTACGAAAATGGTGGACAACCTCCGTTGGGTGCTATCGGATATTAATTCTAATCGGGGGCAATGATCGAAGGGGGTTTCAAGTTGATCAGATGGGGATCTTTGGGGCTGGAGGATTTGGGATTCGATATTCAGAGGTTATTGTTTCATTTAATTCGAAGATTTGAATCCCTTTCTTGGTGGTATAACGTTTTCACTTACTTTTCCTTTGCAATCTCCTTTTTGCCCCACATGGAAGTAGTGGATGGTGCTGTCCTGTATGTTAGAAGCCACTCTTGGCATAACTAAGCTCTTTCTTGTTCTGTGGGATCCAGTGAAGGGGATGAGCATTGTTTTACATCGTGTGATCCTCCTCTCCTTTGTGCAGAAATGCATCTGCTAAGAATTTTTTTGGAGCTCACATTTATTGGTGTTAGCAGTTTTAGGTAATGGGTGGAACAATGTTCTTTGATTATAACTTGTGTGAGAAGGAGCTACGTTTCAGTCGAGTCTAAGATGTTTGCCTTGTATTTTTGGTGGAGGGCTTTAGCTTGCTTGGTACGGGTTCTTTTTTTAATTTGGAAATGTATTGAGTTGGACATGGTTTTTGTGTTTGCTAAAAAGAGTTATGATCCTTTGAGTATTATTTAAATTGTATCTGATTCTCTGGATTCATGCTGGATAGCTAATGGTTGGATAAGAGCAAGAATTGATGCCAAGAGCACGGATAGTAGATTGTTGAAGGCTTTAAACGAGAGGCTAAGTGTAAGAAGTGGTTTGGGGAAGTATTCTTTGTTTAAAGATGTTTTTGCTTTGTTCTCTGGTTTAAGGGTCTTTTGTGGATGGTCTAGCAGAGGTTTTGGTTCAATTTGTTTGTCTTCCACTAGTTCACACTATTCAAGGAGAAATTTTTAGCCCAAAATAGGGCTATCTAATTCTAGTGCAGGAATTTATCAATCTTGGCAAAGCTCTTGACCCTTGTTGCTTCGAGTGGATTCCAAAACTCTATATTGCAGCTGCTATTGGGTGTGCTCAAGCTCCACTTAGGGAGGAGTGCTCGAAAGATTGGGTGTTGCAACCCCCTTCTCCCGTGATAAAAATCCTAATTGATGATGTCTAAAGGGTAGGAGTCTTTGTTCTTGTTTTTGTTCCTTTGTTCTAGCTTTCATTTTCTTGCTTTTTGCTTGCTGTTGCTACTCTTTTGCTGCTTCCGCCTTAGCTGCTTGGTTGATAAATATACTTTTCTTTGCTGCCAAAAAGTAGTCATTGCTATTTACAGCTCAATGAATCAAAAATTTTCAGAAAAAAAAGTTGTAATGGCTAGTCATTGTTTAGACTAAAGTAATTATTGATATTTACTTTTAATTTTTTGATGTTAGAAATGTTACTTTTTTATTTTAAATTGAGATATTTTAGTCATCTCATAAAAATCATTAATGTCAGATTTCTAAAAACTTGAAAAGAATTGAAGCACTTATCTTATTATCATTTACATATTTTAGAGTGATTTTTTTGTCATTTTTTCTTGACTTTATATGGGAACGTACTTATAAAAACTTAAAAAGATAATATTGTCACCTGGTTTCGACCTGGCTAGACTCAAGTTTTAATAACCAGAGTCTGTTTATTGAGACATTCAGTTTTTTAAAAATAAAATAAGGAGCTTATGTCTGCCATATCAAGATTATTATGAAAAGAAAGGAAAATTACAACGTTAGATCACTAAAAGATTATTTTTTTAAGAAAAACAATGTAAACAGATTCTAATTTTCTCTTTCAGGATCAAAAAACTAAAATAAAAATAAACTTATACATAAAATGACATAAATATCTTTATTTAAAAAAAAATTATTTTCCCAAGGAAGAATTTCAATTAATCACTATTTTTTCTTTAATATAAGGTTTATATGGTATTAATTATGAAAGAAAATGTAGTGCTAAATTAAGATTTTTTTTTTATTTAGATAGGGATTCAATTAAATATTTATTCTATTTTTAGACAAAATTAATAATTTAACTAACATTGATAGTTAGAGGTACTTTATGGTTAGAGACTGAAAAGAGTGCTTCAATAGCCAGTTATTTACAAATCAGACTCAACAAATTCTGTTGTCACATTGTAGGATTTTGAGATTTAAGTGAGATAAAATACTAAAATTTAATGACCAATATCTTTATTGAATGACTGAGAAAAATTATTAACATTACCGGTAAAACATTTAATATCACATGTTAATTATCTTGTGTTACTTGTTAAGTAAATAGCATTATCTAAATTGTTTTAAATCCATCTATCATAACTTGTTAAATTTTTAACTTTATATGTAAAATTGCTGACATTACCATAAGCTCCAATTTTTTTTTTAAGTATTTTTGCATCATAACCGTTAAAAAAAATTATAACCTTCTTAACCCAAGGAAATAAAACCTTTCATGAAGTTGGAATATTCCCAATTTTCCAGACTTATTCAGATAACTTTTATTTCTCCAGTATTTTATAATCCTTTTTTCTTTTTGGGCTTTTTCATTTTGTTCTTGTTCCGAGAGAATTAGGGTAACTTGTTAGTCTGCTGAGCCTGGGATTGTTAATTAGTCAATTGTAACTTCTTCAGAAGCCTGTAATAATAAAAGCTTAAATTTTTCCTTTTTTTGTTAATATTAATTATTTTATTTCTATTTATCATATAATATATGGATCTTATGATTATCATGAAATTTTTTTATATTTATTTGACATTTTAAATTAATTTTCAATATGTTAAAATAATTTATATGTGTTAATATACATATATATAATTTAAAAAATGATTACTATTTATATAAAATTTTTGTTTTCAATTTTTTAATTTCACTTGGAATTTTAAATTAATTTTGGCTAAAGTGTATCTTTAGTCTTTTAATTTTTACACACAATTTTCATTTTCATCCCCTAACTTTATAAAGTATTTTCTGATTATTTAACTAACACTGTTAGTTTCATCACAAAAAAATTTTACATTAAAATTTTAAATATTAACAAATATTTTTAAATATTAATGTATTAAATTTAATTTTTTTAACAATAATGATTGATACAAAAAATAAACTGAAAACATACTTTATAAAATTAATAGACTAAATTAAAATTTTATATAAAATTAGAGAATTAAAAGTATATTTTTACCATTACTTTTTAATATGTTAAAATATTTTACATATGTTAGTATATGTAATTTAAAAAATAATTTATAGTTATTTTAATTTTTTTCAAGTTGGGCTAGGCCCAAGTCAAATTGGCTTTTGTATATTGGGACGGTCTCTATGAACTTACTTATTATGCATACTAGTGTACAAGAATGGTCCTTAAATTTAGGAAAGTTTTCAATAAAGATCCTTTGACCATACTTAACAAAAAAGATAATGTTAAAAAATTTGAAAATTTAATGCAATTCAAGGGTACTTACTTGAAATTAAAATGATGAGGAAAAATTACCAGGATATCCCTATTGAAAGGTAGTTTATTAATAGAAGTTGTTTATTTGCTTACATACTACTACTTATTACTCTACATTAAGATATTCATTGTGTTATTATCTATTGTTTATCCATTACTTTCAATTGATTTCATTTCAAATATTATTATCATGTTAATACAAATTGTTTGTTTCCTTACCGTTTGCTGTTTATTACCTTACATTACATTGTTCATTGCTTTATTATTTATTATTTATCCATTACTTTCAAATTGTTACATTCCTAATATTGTCATCATACTAACACAAATTATTCATTTCTCTACTCTCTGTTGTCCATTACCTTAAATTACATTATTCATTGCTCTACTGTCTATTGTTAGTTGATAGTGTAATTGAGAGGGGATGAGAGACAATCAAGCAAGTTTCCTCAAATTTTATTGTAGTACCTTTGGATTGCAGTAAATTTGTAGAGTTTGTGAGGTTTTCTTTTTTACTAACAACGGTCAAGAGGTATTATTAAAAAATTTTAAATTTATATGGCCAATTTTTTTAATAATATTATAATATAAACTCAATATATAGTTATACACTAATAAGACTGCTCAACCAAAAAATAATACAAACTCTTCGAAAATTTTATTCGTTGAATTCGAAAAAGCATTGACCTGTTAATTTCGTTCATCATTTTTTAATCACGATAACTTTTTCTGTTAAGCTAAAAGTAAAAAAGGGTAAAACACTTAAAAAGGGAAAACAAATTTATTTAAAAAAAACATACATCCAGCACCACCAAAACTATTGCACTGAAAATGAATCGACGATTATTATATTCACAGATAAATAAAGAGTAGTCAAAGTCAGAAGTTGATGTAATACTAGAACGTACTTGTTAAGACTATTTGTTCACAATCACATATAGTAAACTTCTTCTTCTTGTGTCTCTGGGCGTGCAAAGTAGAAAGCGATTGAAGATATTAAAGCAGTACATGAAATGGTAATCTTAATTTATGTGAAAATGAAGGATACAAAAATTGGACGACAATTATCACAAATATTAATCGGATCCACCACCGTAACAGCAGAGTCTTGATTGTCATCATCTATGGCTTCGCATTATTGTCATTCCTCCCACCGACTGTGCAAATACGAGAAAAATTGCAATCTCAAAATCAATTTACAATAAGCATTTCCCATATGTAAAAAAAAACATTTCATAACTATAATAGTGCCAAAACTTAATTATATATGAACTACATCTTTTCAAAAAGAAATTGGAAGAATGAGGGAGTATATAAATAAATTCAAAAGTAAAAATGAACAAAAAAATTTGAAGTTGCGCAGAATAACTAGAAAGATATCGCACCAGTCACCAGGGAAGAGAAAAAGCTCTCATGCTATCAAATATGCATGCCTGCGTATGGAGGTTTTAATAGCTGCGTATGTGGTTTCGGAGAACATGGGGCAATCCTCAACATTAAGATCTACTAGCTCTGGAAGTAGGCTGTTGTAGAACCATTCCTCTTGGATTTCAACTTCACAACTAAAAACTCCCTCCAGCTCAGAGCACTGTGTTATGTTTAGATAAGTCAATGATGGAAGATGTTGAGTAGAGGGCAGATAGGGGAAGAGCCATTTCAACTTTCTGCATTTAATGACATCAAGCATTTCAAGTTTTGGGAAGCAACAGCAGGAAGAAGAGGATGCATTTGGAAAGTGAGGCTCTGATGACATTATTTCCTCCAACTCTTCACATTCTGATATGTATAGCCTCCACAAACATGGAAGGCTTCTGACGACAGTGTTGGAAAAGATACACTTCAATTTCTTGCATCCTTTCACCTTTAACGTCTCAAGATTTTGGAAGCTGATGAAAGTGGGACCCTCCCATACACACACGAGGTTGGTTGAATCTATCAAATCCAAGGATTCTACTCTTGAGGTCAAGATCATCCCTTTTTCTTCATCTACAGGCAATTGTTTTCTAACATCTGCTATAGGTTGGAATTTTGAATTTTCTGTAGAAACCTGCGAGAACTGCAACTTCAATTAACAAAAAGAATAATTTATTCACATCAATTAACTTTAATTCTAAAAGTTTTTATTTCTACCTAGGTTTAAAAAGATGATTCAGTATATTGAAAATAGACATTAAAGAATACCGACCAAATTTTATACACATATTGACATGTGTTTATATCAATGTGTGATTGTTGCAGGGAAAACAGAAATCAATTTCTAATTAGTTTAGTTTACTATAAAATAATTTTTCATCAAAATATTTCTAATCACGCATCTAGTATATTTTGATTTTTTTTTTTAGTGTCCCTACATCTCATCGTAACTCGAAAGTTTTCTATTTTGAAAATCACTTAATTTTTGAAAAAAATATATTTTGTGAGTTTTTATGATATTTGTTTAAAACTTTTGAAAATAACCAAAAATTAAAAAAAAGTATATTTCTGATTTTTTTTTTTCAAGAAGCTACCTTGAGTAGTTTTTAAAATAATCTGGTGCAACATATGAAAGAGCATATTTTAAAAATGCAGGATACAAGAAGATATTATAAAATTTAAAAATAATTGAATAATGAATCATTTTAATAAAAAAGTAAATCAAGAAAAATATTACAAAATTTAAAACTAAATGAACTAATAATTACTTTTTTATTATTGTAAACAAGCATAAAATATTAGCTAGCAAAATGGTATATATGATTCCAATCCACATATTATTCCATCTCATTTTGAAGACACTAATCAACATAATATGGAATATTCTTTCTTACCGATATTGTTCCCAATTGTTGAAGAGCCGATTTCAAACTTGAATCATGAAATTTGGGGCAGTTGTCTATGTAGATGTCACTCAGTTGCACCTGAATCTGCATCCCTTGACAAACACTGATGAAATTTGGTAAATTTTCAAGATTCATCTTCTTTAGGCTTGAAAGCATAATGTTCTCACTATAGTTGGCTTCATCTTCACCACCATGTCCAAAAATAACCTCCAATTCCTCACAATCAGATAAGGAAAGGGAACATAATTTGGGAAGGCTGTTATGGACAATGGTGCTTATTGAGAATAAAAACTTTAATTTCTTGCATTTAATCATTTTTAAGGAATGGAGATATTGGAAGCTTAACACTTGTGTGGGAACAAGACCTCCTAGCATTTGTTCTTTCGATCTCAACATTTTTGAGTCATTGGTTTCTTTTTGGTCATCATCTTCTTGGTAGTCATCTCCCATGACTTGAAACTCATGATTAACTTCAGGACTTTGAATATCAAGTTCTCCAACATTTAAAATAGGGAGTGGAAGATTAAGAGCTTCATTATCATTTAATTGGCTCCATTTCAATGCATACTTCCTTTCAAGTCTCTGTATCCATCAAAGATCAAAGGAGCAGGGAAAGTATTATTAGTTCCTTGAAAAGATAAAGAAAAGAAAAAGAGATCAAATTAACCGATATCTTCATTTTATCTTTAATTTGGTTGCTTGACTTGTATATGCAGGAATATAAGATGCTTTCGTAACTATTTTGTGTATATTAAACTAGAATCATGTTAAAACAAAGAAATATATAATGCATTGCATAGATGAAAGTTTTTCGCTCTCCAACTCCTGCTGTTAGAACTTAGAACAATCATTGATGATGATGATTGTCACATATAAAATATTATATCAAATGAACAATTTACCTCTTATATTGGCAGCACTAAAATAGTCTCTAGTTGATAAACTAAACCTTAGTTTTTCTGACATGTTCCATGTATATCAAATAAGATGAAAAATATATGCAAAACGGAAAGAAAAATTATGTGAAAAGAGAAACATATAAAGAACTACCGAGGAACATGTATGTATCTATGTATGTATGTAGAATTGTAGATATCTAGTCAATATTTGTGTGAAATTAGCTTAAAACTTTTTTAGCCAATTAAGCATTGGACCAGATGAAATTAGTTTAAATTAACAAAACATTATTCCAAAAAAAAACCAAAAATTTTTTTTTAAGAAAACTGAAAACATTAAATATTCACATAGCGTCAAATAAATTAATATACTGCAAACTAAAACAGAGACAAGATTTTCGGTATGGAAAAGGAAGCATATAGAGAATCACAAGTGTAAAGTATTACATACCTCTTTAAGCCGCCTAATAGTTGCACTCGTGATTGGCATAAATTTTGGGCATTCATGAACCTCGACTTTGCGAAATTCCCGTGTCTGCAACGTAAACCCTTGGCCAACATTAACAAGTCTTGGAAGACTCCAAAGTTAACAAATAATATAAGGCAAGACGCAAAGAACAATTATTTCCATTAGTTTTTAGATTGATTGATTTAGATTTAAATTTTGATTTGAATTTAAAATCTTAAATTTAAAGTTCACGCATTTAAATTTCCTTGTTTGGATGGAATAAAAAATTTTAAACTCAAAGACAACAAAAAAAAAAAAAGGAAGATGTGAAGTGAAAAGATGAGGAAAATAAGAGATAAGAGCGGCTGACATTTCAGGTAACATTAAGTTTTTTAAAAGAAAAAATGTTAGGGATTTTAGTAGTGAGGATATCACAGTAAATTGACTGTCATTTAATCCCTCATTTTATTTATAATTTAAACAGTTTTTCACAGTATATTTGATTTTGACTCCTATACGTTATTTTGTGTAGTTTTTCATATAACAATCCCGTATCAGTCAGAATTTTGAACAACTTTTGCATTGTCACTTAGCTTTTCTAAAAATTAATTGATACAATGCAAGCGTTATTGGCTTAATTATTAGAAAGGATATTGATGGCATAAGAAATGGTGAAAATAATTTATGAAGCTACTCAAATATAATCTGATGCATTAGATGAGAGAGAATATTTTAAAAATACATATATCATAAAATTTTGAAAGAATTGAATAATAAATTATTTTAATAAAACAAAAATCACGGAAGATTTCATAAAATTTAAAATTAAACAAACTAATAATCACTTTTTTCATTATTTTAACTGAACATAAAATCATGTTTAATTACTTTATATAAAACCCTCTACAAAATAAATTTCTCTTTATAAAATCTCTAAACTACTTAAAAGTCACTTATTTTTTAATCTTAAATAAAAAGATCATTAATTTATGCACTTGCAGCTAGCAAAATGGTACATATGATTCCAATCCACATATTATTCCATGTCATTTTGAAGACTCTAATCAACATGATATAGAATATTCTTTCTTACCGAAATTGTTCCCAATTGTTGAAGAGCCCATCCCAAACTTGAATCATGAAATTTGGCGCAGTTCCGTATGCGGATCTCACTCAGTTGCATCTGAATTTGCATCCCTTGACAAACATTGATGAAATTTGGCAAATTTTCAAGCTCTATCTCCCTCAAGCTTGAAAGCACAATTTTCCCACTGTAGTTGGCTGCATCTTCACTACTGTCTCCAAAAATCACCTCTAATTGATCAGCCCCATTTACACGCAAAGAGTGTAGTTGTGGAAAACTAGTGGACATGGATATAGGGAAGAGTCTTATGAGCTTGTCGCACCTCTGAACCTTCAACTGTCCTAGTTTTGGGAAGTGAACTTGATCATTAGACATGACCTGATGTTCCTCGTTATCTTGAATTATTTCCTCCAATTCCTCACAGTCACGTAAAGTCAGGGAACTCAAATTGGAAAGGCTGTTATGAACAATGGTTCTTATTGAGAATAAAAATTTCAACTTTTTGCATCGAACCATTTCTAAGGAATGGAGATATTGAAAGCTCAAAACTTGGGTGGGAACAAGACCTCCAAGCATGCGTTGTTCCGATCTCAACATTTCTGAATCCTTGGTTTCTTCTTGGTCATCATCACCCATGACTTGAACCTCATCATCAACTTCAGGACTTTGAATATCAAGTTCTCCAACATTTAAAACAGGGAGTGGAAGATTGTGAGCTTCATTATTATTTAATTGGCTCCATTTCAACACATACTTCCTTTTAAGTCTCTGTATCCATCAAAGATCAAAGGAGGGGGGAAAGTATTATTAGTTCCTTCAAAAGATAAGGAAAAGAAAAAGAAATCAAATTAACCAGCATATTCATTTTATATTTAATTTGGCAGCTTAAATTTGCACACGCAAGAATATAAGATGTTTCCGTCATTATTTTGTGTATATTTACTAAACTAGAAATATGGAATGCATTGCATGGATGAAAATTTTCTGCTCTCCAGCTTCTGTTGTTAGAACTTGGACCAATAATTGATAATGATTATTGTCACGTAAATTATTATATTATAAGAACAATTAAAATCTTCTATTGGCAGCACAAAAATAGTCTCTAATCGATAAGCTCAACCTCAACTCGTCTTGCGCGTTCTATGTACATATAATAGGATGAAAATATATGTAAAAGGGAAAGAAAAATTACGTGAAGATAGAAACATATAAAAAAATACAAAGGACAATTGTATTAACATGTGCGTGTGCAGATATCTAGTGAATATGCATGTGAAAGTAACGAATTCATTGGACCAGATGAAATTAGCTTAAATTAACAAAACATTAAAAACAAACTTTTTTTCAAGAAAACCGAAAACATTAAATATTCACACAGAGTCAATTAAATTAATATACTGCAAAATAAAACAGAGACATGATTTGCGGTAGGGAAAAGGAAGCATATAGAGAATCACAAGTGTAAAGTATTACATACCCCAAGAAACCACCTAATAGTTGCACTCATAATTGGCATAAATTTTGGGCATTCATGAACCTCGAATTTGCGAAATTCCCCTGTCTGCAACGTAAACCCTTGGCAAACATTAACAAGTCTTGGAAGACTCCAAAGTTAACAAATAATATAAGGCAAGACGCAAAGAACAATTATTTCCATTCGTTTTTAGATTGATTGATTTAGATTTAAATTTTGATTTGAATTTAAAATCTTAAATTTAAAATTCATACATTTAAATTTCTTTGTTTGGATGGAATAAAAAATTTTAAACTCAAAGACAACAACAACAACAACAAAAAGCAAGATGTGAAATGAAAAGATGAGGAAAATAAGAGATAAGAGTGGCTTAGATTTCAAATGACATTAAGTTTTTTTAAAAGAAAAAATGTTAGGGATTTTAGTAGTGAGGATATCACAGTAAATTGATTGTCATTTAATCCCTCATTTTATTTATAATTTAAACAGTTTTTCACAGTAAATTTGATTTTGACTCCTATATGTTATTTTGTGTAGTTTTTCATATAACAATCCCGTATCAGTCAGAATTTTGAACAACTTTTGCATTGTCACTTAGCTTTTCGAAAAATTAATTGATACAATGCAAGCGTTATTGGCTTAATTATTAGAAAGGATATTGATAGCATAAAAAATGATGAAAATAATTTATGAAGCTACTCAAATATAATCTGATGCATTCGACGAGAGAGAATCTTTTAAAAATACATGATACACAAATATATCATAAAATTTTAAAACAATTGAATAATAAATTATTTTAATAAAACAAAAATCAATGAAGATTTCATAAAATTTAAAATTAAACAAACTAATAATCACTTTTCATTATTCTAACTGAACATAAAATCATGTTTAATTACTTTATATAAAAACCTCTACAAAATAAATCTCTTTCTATAAAATCTCTAAACTATTTAAAAGTCACTTATTTTTTAATCTTAAACAAAAAGATCATTAATTTATGCACTTCCAGCCAGCAAAATGGTACATATGATTCCAATCCACATATTATTCCATGTCATTTGAAGACTCTAATCAACATGATATAGAATATTCTTTCTTACCGAAATTGTTCCCAATTGTTGAAGAGCCCATCCCAAACTTGAATCATGAAATTTGGCGCAGTTCCGTATGCGGATCTCACTCAGTTGCATCTGAATTTGCATCCCTTGACAAACATTGATGAAATTTGGCAAATTTTCAAGCTCTATCTCCCTCAAGCTTGAAAGCACAATTTTCCCACTGTAGTTGGCTGCATCTTCACTACTGTCTCCAAAAATCACCTCTAATTGATCAGCCCCATTTACACGCAAAGAGTGTAGTTGTGGAAAACTAGTGGACATGGATATAGGGAAGAGTCTTATGAGCTTGTCGCACCTCTGAACCTTCAACTGTCCTAGTTTTGGGAAGTGAACTTGATCATTAGACATGACCTGATGTTCCTCGTTATCTTGAATTATTTCCTCCAATTCCTCACAGTCACGTAAAGTCAGGGAACTCAAATTGGAAAGGCTGTTATGAACAATGGTTCTTATTGAGAATAAAAATTTCAACTTTTTGCATCGAACCATTTCTAAGGAATGGAGATATTGAAAGCTCAAAACTTGGGTGGGAACAAGACCTCCAAGCATGCGTTGTTCCGATCTCAACATTTCTGAATCCTTGGTTTCTTCTTGGTCATCATCACCCATGACTTGAACCTCATCATCAACTTCAGGACTTTGAATATCAAGTTCTCCAACATTTAAAACAGGGAGTGGAAGATTGTGAGCTTCATTATTATTTAATTGGCTCCATTTCAACACATACTTCCTTTTAAGTCTCTGTATCCATCAAAGATCAAAGGAGGGGGGAAAGTATTATTAGTTCCTTCAAAAGATAAGGAAAAGAAAAAGAAATCAAATTAACCAGCATATTCATTTTATATTTAATTTGGCAGCTTAAATTTGCACACGCAAGAATATAAGATGTTTCCGTCATTATTTTGTGTACATTTACTAAACTAGAAATATGGAATGCATTGCATGGATGAAAGTTTTCTGCTCTCCAGCTTCTGTTCTTAGAACTTGGACCAATAATTGATAATGATTATTGTCACGTAAATTATTATATTATAAGAACAACTAACATCTTCTATTGGCAGCACTAAAATAGTCTCTAATCGATAAGCTCAACCTCAATTAGTCTTGCGCGTTCTATGTACATATAATAGGATGAAAATACATGTAAAAAGGAAAGAAAAATTACGTGAAAATAGAAACACATAAATAAAGAAATACAAAGGAATATTATATTAACATGTGCGTGTGCAGATATCTAGCGCATATGCATGTGAAAGTAATGAATTCATTGGACCAGATGAAATTAGCTTAAATTAACAAAACATTATTCCAAAAAAAAAACCCAAAACTTTTTTTCAAGAAAACCCAAAACATTAAATATTCACATAGCGTCAATTAAATTAATATACTGCAAAATAAAACAGAGACCAGATTTGCGGTATGGAAAAGGAAGCATATAGAGAATCACAAGCGTAAAGTATTACATACCTCTTTAGTCCACCTCCTAATAGTTGCACTCGTGATTGGCATAAATTTTGGGCATTCATGAATGTAGACGAGGCAAAATTCCCCTCTCTGCAGCTTAAACCATTGGCGAACATTAACAAGTCTTGGAAGCTTTACAAGTGTTACTTGTTTCAAGTTTGGGAACATAACCTCCATTTCATTGTCAATGTCATGATCTTCAATATTAGAGCATCTGAAAATTTCTTCCAACTGAGAAGAATTTGATATGGTCAAAGTGCTTAGTTGTGGAAGCATCGAGGTAGCAACCTTGATCACGAAAGATAAAACGAATTTCAGCTTGTTGCACCTTTCGATTTCCAAATAACTCAATTTCGGCAGACAAGCTTCAGTTATGGATACATTCTTCTCATTTTCTTCATTTCCTAGAAAAATTGCCTCCAATTCTTCACATTCAGACATGGTTACCTTATCTAACATCGGAAGACTTTGACAAATATGAGTAGAGAACACAAATTTCAATCTTGCACATCTTTTCAAAGTTAAAGATTTAAGGTATTGAAATGTTGGAATATGTTCTTCAATCCCAGTCTGACAGAAGAAATTGGATTCTACTGCACAATTATGAAGATCAATCTTTTCAATAACTGCCAGTGGCTTGTATTCTTCATTCCTCAAATGAAGGCCCTTAAATTCCTGCCATTCCTTGGTGAAAGAGGGGAGGAAAGGGAAGAAAAGAAAACAAAAACCATTAACACATTTCTTTAAAAACAACAAATCAGGATTTATTAAAAATTTATGCGTGCACTTGTAGTATTCTAGCATAGACTCAGTATCCACTTTTAGGCAATTTAAACAAAAAAAAAAAAAAAAGCCGTATATCAATAAATTTCACGATAAAGTTAAGGAAAAAAGTATGATGATGGGCCCACAAGAGTGAATTTTTTGTGGGCCATAAAAATGATAAATAAATTGAATGACCAAATATTAAATAACAACATATAATTGTTTGATTATCCGTGCATTAAAATATTTTGCAATGACGGCGGTGGTGGAGTACAAGGACAAATTGGAGCACCAAATTAAGAGTGATAGCAAATAATGTAAGGAAAGATACAGAACAATTACTTCTATTAGTATTTAGATTGATGGACTTTGATTTCGATTTTCATTCGCATTTAAAATTTCTTCATATGTGTTTTTAAAAACTTAAAAAAAAAAATCTTACTTCTATTAGTATTTTAATTCCTTTGTTTGGCTAGTATAAAAAAATTTTAAATTCAAAAATAACAAAAAAAAAAGATGTGAAATGAAAAGATGAGGAGAATAAGAGGTTAGAGTGGCTAACATTTCAAATAACATTTAAGTTTTTTTTAAGGAAAAAATTTAGGCATTTTAGAAATGAGGATATCAAAGTAAATTGATTGTCATTTAGTCCCTTATTTTATTTATAAGTGAAATAGTTTTTCATAGTAAATTTGAATTCTATATGTCATTTTGTGAAGTTTTTCTAAAAATTAATAGATATAATACAAGTGTTGGCAGCATAATTATTGCAAAGGATATCGATAGTTTAAGAAATGACGAAATGGAGCATAATGTACATTCTTTGTTGATATTGGTAATTTTATGTTCACTTGCATAATATGCGGAGCACTTCTAAACCAAAAGCAAAATGAGTTAAAATAAAATGATAGATGACGTTTGACATTTTCTTGACATCGAGATAGTAGGCTTTTTATGAATGCAAATTTATGGGTCATTTTCTTATTTCATTTCTCATTCTAAATAACAAAATGCGAATGAGTAAGTACAAATTAATAGACTAGATCATCACTTAAAATAAATTGACATGAACACTGCTACTTTGTTATATCACGCATGCTTAAAAAAACCCATAATTATGCAAACAAGGATATTTAAAACAACTTTAGTTCTTTTAAATATTGTATAAAAATAAAATTAAAGCATCAAAGAGTAAATGCATACCATATTTGGACAATCCTGGCAGACTACTTCCTTAATAGATGGGCACCTTAGATGATACCTTTCTGAGCAAATCCTGACAAGATTTGGAAGATTTTGTAGTAAGAGATGTTCCAAGCAAGGGAGCTCTATCAAAGTCTCAATTTGAGCACGCAATGCTTGTTCTTCCTCTCCCTCTAATACATTCTTCAATTCACTACACTCCTTTATCTCGAGCTTCTTTAGGGACAACAGAGTGCGAGCAACAGAGACAAGGAACACGGGGAGCAACTGAGGGCATTTGGATATACTTAGACTTTCAAGCTGTTGGAACAAGCTAAGACGAGAAGGACCACGGCATAGTTGTTTTAGATTAGCCATATCCTTCAATTTCAACTCCTTCAATTTTAACTCATCCAATTTTGGGACAACCACATTGTTACAAAGAGTAGTTTCATCAATAATGCAATCTATCTCTGAACAGCATTCAAGATGGAGTTTAGTTAATTCATTCATGCCTCCCACAGCTTGAACTACATTAGGAATGAAAGTTTTGCAGCCTCCTTGAAGCTTGTAAAAATAAACTGAAGTTGCTCTTTGCACAAGATCCTTAATTATTTCACCTAAGATGGAGATATTTAGCTTACCCAAGCATAAAGATTGTGTGCCTTCATTCCAAAATTCGACGTCATAGCCATGATCCCCCATGTCTAACTTGTACCTTTTCAATTTCGCCAAAGTATAGTCATGGCAACTTTTGCCTTTTGGATGCGGAGAATGTGGATAAACATACAACTCTTCTAGCTGCAAACAACTCCCTAATACTTCATAACAACACTCATCTATTTTACACTTTGATAAATCCAGCAACTTCAACTTCTTTAATTTTTCAATTCCATTTGGAAGTTTTTCAAATTTACTACCTTGCAAGTCAAGAATTTCAAGTCTTGTAAGGCTTACCACAAAAGAGATGTCACCTAAATCCCAACATCGCAACCTCAAAGTCCGAAGATTAGACAATTGTTGGATTGATTGAGGCTTTACCATCAATGAGGGAAGACTATATCCTTTGTTAATAATAGCCACAACCTTGAGTCCTTTGGCACCTTCAAATGAAGCATGTGATAAATCCAAGGATAAGGTTGAATGTAACAGTAGAATCTCAAGTTTTGGAGCATTCAATTGAGAAGGAAATTGAAGTGATTCCTTGTGATGATACCATGAGCCTATTGCATAGCAATCTTTTACCACATCATCATCAAGAAATTCTTCCAGTTCTTTTGTACAATTTACCTTGATGGCACAATCCTGATTAGATGCTATCCATAATGCTACATCACGAACCACGTCATGCATTGTCAATTGTCTTTCCCCTCTAAAATTTGGAGAATACATCAATAATGAGGAGTCAACAAGAATTTCTATGGCTGTTGCAACATAGCTCCTTGCTATTTCAAATGAGTCTACATCTTTGCAAAGGTCCAACCCTACTCCATATCTAAAAAGGTCTTCAATGACAATTTTATGATCTTCAGGAAACATTGCACACATCAAGAATAATGACTTGGCTTCTTTGGATTTCAAATAACTGTAACTTAGTTCGAGACAAGCAAAAGCATCTCTCACACTTTTATCCTCATGGTCTATTGGTTTTGAATGCTTCAACTTGTGCAGTACCACCTTCATCTCATCAAGTCCTTTTGCTTTCAGGCAAGTTCCAACAGCTACAATTGCAATGGGAAGTCCTTTACATTCCTTAGCAACTTCCCGTGCCACGACTTCTTTAGCACCAGCATCAACATTAGCATGAGTTTGAAATAGTGTCCAAGCTTCATCTTCTTTTAAGATGTCTAACCGAATTATATTTCCACAATTCATCAATGTACATACCTCTTTTCGGCGTGTGGTTAGGACAATTTTGCAATTTCTTTGATGATTTCCCCCAAAGAGAATCCCTATATCCTCAAGATTTAGCTTACCCCATACATCATCCAATATTATCAAAATCCGTTCTCCACTTTGTAATCTTTCTGCTATTCTTTGTGCCCTTCCAATTTCAGATTTTTCCTTCAAGTCAAGTCCAAACATGTCAGCAATTTCACCTTGAACTTTTCTGATTTCCAGGTTTTGAGAAATTGTAATCTTCACAACTCGATCAAATAGCTTTGATTCTTTGGCTTCCTTCCCTACTTCTGTCACCAAGGTGGTTTTCCCTGAACCGCCCATGCCCCATAGCCCAACTATGGAATTGCCATCATCTTTCAATGCCTCCAGCAGATCATCAAAAGCCCTTTGCGTAGAGTTGAAGAACGTAAAATTGGGAGAAGAGTGATACTCTATACCTGGGATAATAGTAGGATGAGAAAATGGATTAAGATTACCACTTTCCGTATTTAGCACTACCATCCTTTGAGTTATCTTGGCCAACTCTTTGCAAAGACAATATCTCCTCCAAATAGGACACCACCTTTTAAAGCAGCCATTGTTGACCTTTAGTTTTTCCTCCAAATTCTCCAAGTCTGCTATGAGGCTCTGCACATCATCCATCCACTTGTTAACCACACCATCAATCCTCTCAGTCTTGTTGATGGCCTCTTGAACACGTGCTTGCACCCTCTCTTGTGTGAGCATGAGCTTCTCCTTTTTTATCCTGACATTTTTGGTGATTTTGCCGACACAGAACAAATATTCCAGCTGCTGTAAAGTTGGATCCACCAAATATTCAGCAAGTTTTGCTGCCACAGATACTCCCACCTCTGCCATTTTGAATTAATAGCAACCTGAAAGAGAGTCATTCATCATCGTCGAATGATTATTTCAAAATTTCATTTTGAAGAACTGAGGCATCTTTCAAAATTATATAAAAGAATGACTTTTTTACACTCGAGTAAAACAAGAAAAATCAATTGTTCTTGTACAACCTTCTTGCTCCGGTATCTTGCTTGTTTTTCACCCAGCCATGTTAAGAGATTAGAGTAACTTCATTTAATGTTTTCTTTCTAACAGATCGACCAAAAGGTGAAGTAAAGAAGAAAAAATGTAGTCTACAAATGATAGCAGCAATTATTTGGAACTAACAAGCTACTCATACTTTGAGAATTGAGAGCAATCACATATATGTATGGAAAAACAAAAAGAAACATAGTGGGGAAAAGACAGAAAAAGAAAAATCTGAAAGAAGAAAGCGATTCGGGAGAGATCTTGCTTCATTCATACCTAATAAGATGAACTTCCACTTGCAAAATTTCAAAGAGTGAGATGAACAGAATTGCTCTGCGATGACCAAAATTTCGCTTGAGATGAGTCGTCAACTTAGTTGGAACTTGAGGGTTCAGGAGTCAGTACCTAGTTAAGATGTTGCAGGCTTTGACCAGTAGGTGGGTGGTGTACATTTTCTATTTCCAAAAATTCAAAAGTGAAAAGGCAATCTTATGATGCATTTTTTTACTTTCCAAACGTTCGATGTATTTGTATTTGAAATTGAAATTTCAGATTTTCATAACGTTTTAATGTTATAAATTAGATTGTATCGTTTTAAAAAAATTAAAAAAAATATTATATAAAAAATAAATGTAAAATTTTAAATATTCTTAAATTTATAATTTAAGAGCTAATTTATTCTTTTACTCAAAAAATTTACCATAATTTAAAACAAAAAAAAAAGTTATCTTTTTTAAAAGCAATAAAATTAAAATAGAAGGATGGGTTTTCGTTTAAAAAAAAAAAAAAGAAAGAAGAAAGGAAAGAAGGGCGTGCCATTTAAAAGTGGATTTTTTTTACCTCAAAAGAAAAGTAACTAATTTTTTTTCTTTTTATTTGAAGGTATGATTGTGAAGGATAACTGCACTAAAAAAAAAAGTTTGATGTCATCTCGTTTTATAGCGTATCAAGCACCAAAACTACTCTTGTAAAGGAATGAGTTATGGGCACCTTATCAGAGATGAGATTTGAATCATTTAAATTTTAATTTAAATAATTAAAAATTAAAAAATTTTTATTATATTTATTAAAATAAAAAATTATAAAATAATTTTACTAAATTTTTTATTTTAAATTTGGTCTATATTTAATTTATAAAGTCTAATTTAATATTAAAATTTTTATAATTGATATATATTGATTATTCAAATATGCTCTAAATAATTAATTATAAAATCTTTTGAATTATAAAAAGTCAGATTAAAGATAAAAATTTATTAAAATTATTTTATAATTTTTTATTTTAATAAATATAATGTAAAAATATATAATAATATTTTAAATTTAAATTATTCAGATTAAAATTTAAATAATTTAAATTTCATCTTAAATATGAGCAGTAAAGAGATACGCTGCCCCCTTACCAAGGAGGGTGCTTACTTTAGTTTCTAAAGTTTATGGAACCAAAAAAAGAAAATGAAATTGGAACTGAAAAAGTTAAAAAGAAATGACGCGTTCCAGCTGGTTGTTGTCCGGTTTTTGGGTGCAAGTCAGACTGTACTGTTTCAGGGTTTGGACCCCACAACACTGCAATCCTTCGTAAAAGGCAATCTCATTGCTGTGTGAAATTTCTGAGACATTTTTCTGGGATATGTGTGTTTAAAAATACTCAATTTGTTTAAAAATGTAATATATTTTTTAAAAAATTAAATATTTAAAAATATAAAATATTTTTAATTTTTTAATGTGTAATTATTTTTTTAAAAATATCTCTATTAATAATAATTTTATATTTATTATAGAATATTTAATAAAAATAAATATAAAAAAATAGGGTTAGTTTGAAAATAAATTAAAAGGTAAATCAAATCATAGACTTATTATGATTGCACATGGGGTTAATGGTGGTGAAGCTAATGGAAGGAGCCTGTTTAAATATCATGCAGCCTGGGCATTAGAGGAAGGTTTTGGGGACTTAGTCAAGAATGCCTAGTCTAGCAAATCATAGCTTGACGGTCTTACTTCTTTTCAACAGGAGGCTGATGAGTGGAATCATAAAACTCTTGGAAACATTCCGAAACAGAAAAGGAAAATTATTGGGAGGTTAGAAGGTATTGACAGATCAAGACTTTCAAGGAATAGGACTAGTCTTTTCCGTATCGAACAAAAGCTTTGGACCAAATACCAGAAATTCACAGCCCAGGAAGAGTTAATTTGGTTCCAAAAAGCTCGTTGCAAGTGGCTTCAATGGGGGAATAAAAATTCTAAATTTTTTTATGCCTCGATCAAAGCACGGCGCGGGCGCAATAATATAGATGCTCTTCAAAATGAACATGGAGAGTGGATTCCAAATCAGTATGTCCTACAGAACATCGCAAGTGACTTCTTCCATAAACTATATTCCTCTGAAACTACCTCTCATTCTGTCACATCTTGGCCTACAAACTTTCCTCCTCTTTCAGATATTCAGATTTATGAAATTCAACAAGAGGTATCTGACACTAAAATTAAAAATGTGGCTTTCTCCATTGGTGCCTTTGAAGCCCCAAGGCCAGATGGTATTTCTGCGCATTTGTTCCATACCCAATAGAATGTCCTAGGTTCTCGAATATACCAGTTTGTTAAAGAGGTCTTTTTTAACCTAGATAAGATTAAGGAATACAACCAGACCAATATTGTGCTTATCCCTAAAGTTGATTTTCCTAATTCCTTAAAGGACTTCCAACCTATCTCTTTGTGTAATGTTTGCCTCAAGATAGTGACCAAAATTCTTGCCAACGGACTATGTGTGCACCTTGACCATTTAATCTTACCTAACCAATGCAACTTCATTCGTCGGCACAACAGTGACAACGTTATCCTGGCACAGGAGGCTCTTCATACTATGAGGTATAAATATGGACAGAAAGGGTATATGGCTTTGAAGATTGATCTAGAAAAAGCCTACGATCATCTAGAATGGTCTTTTATAGAGGACACTCTTACAAGCTTGGGTCTGGGACCTTCCTTTATCAACATAATAATGAAGTGTGTCTTTACAACCACTATGAGGGTCCTTTAAAACGGGACAAAAACTAAAGCTTTCTCTCCAACAAGAGAAATACAACAGGGCAATCCTCTAAGTCCATATCTGTTCGTCTTATGTATGGAAAGACTAGGACAACTAATTCAAAGAGAATGTAATAATAGAAGATGGAAACCTATCAAATTCAGTGTCAATAGTCCCCACCTTTCACACCTCTTTTTCACCGATGACCTTATCCTTTTTGTGAAGCCTCCACTTCTCAAGTAGCTCTTATAAGGGATGTTTTACACAAGTTTTGTCTTGTCTTGGGGCATCAAGCTAATTTACTGAAATCTAAGATCTTTGTTTTCAAAAATGTCCATTTTAATAGAAGGTTGGAGCTCAGCCACATATTGGGTATTGGCCTTACTGCAGATTTAGGGAAATACTTAAGTATTCTGCTAATTCATAAACAGTCACTAAAATAATGTTCTCACCCATCCTCACAAAAGTTCATTAACGTCTTTCCTCCTGGTAGAGCATATTCCTAATCATAGCAGGGAAAACTACCCTGATTAAGGCCGTTCTATCTGCTATGTCCTCGTATCACATGCAAACAAATCTCTTACCATCTGGGGTGTTGAAGGAGATAAAGAAACTCTATCGAAGCTTTCTTTGGAGTCAACAACCAGAAAAAAGGAAAATCCATCTGATCGCTTAGGATACCGTGAAACGGACTAAACCAAAAGGAGGGCTAGGCATTAAAGATCTTAAACGCCAGAACACTGCATTCATTATGAAACTCTGTTGGGCCTTAATCACAAAACCATCTGTGATGTGGGTTAAATGCCTGAGGACCAAATATAAGTGTGGGGAGAACGAAATGCCTTCTGTCATCAGAAAGACGAGGTTATCTGCAACTTAGCGCAACATTTGCAATGTATGGGAAACTTTCAAAATGGGTATGGGTTGGAAAATCAATAACGGGTGAAATACCAAGTTTTGGTGGGATCTTTGGTTGCCTCTAGACCAACCTCTAATCCACTATGTAACACGTAATGAGAGTAGCTTGAATCCTATTGATGCTGTTGCTGATTTTGTGTTGCCCTCTAGAATATAGGATATAAACAAATGCCTTCTATTTCTCCCACGAGAGGTTGTTAATAAAATTCTTAATGTTCGTGTATCAATGGGAAATAACCCGGATGTGTTTTGTTGGCAGGAATCTGGAGATGGCTCTTTCTCTGTGAAGTTGGCTTATCAGTTTATCCATCATCCTGATAGAGGCTTGACTAATAACTTCCTAAAAAACCTCTGGCACTGGCCCCTTCCAGAAAGGATTAAATTCTTCCTATGGCAAGCTTCCTAAGAGAGGATTCTCACTAATTCTCTAAGAGTGAAAAGGGGTTTAGCCGAGAGAAACACTTGTGTTTTTTAGTGTAACTGTGAAGAGAGTGTTATCTATATCTTGAGGGATTGCTGTGAGGCTAAAATTTTTTGGAACCATTTACTTAACCACAATCTCTCTTCTATGTTTTTTGACATGAGTTTACAGGGTTGGCTTAAGAACAACATGACAAACTCTTTTGGAAATGAAACTTTTAGCAAATGGCCATGGTTCAAAGTTTTCAGTCATACTTGCTAGCTACTTTGGAAAGCTAGGCATAAAAAAGCTAAGGAAGACAAATATACAAGACGTCTAGACTTGAAATTCCAGTGCCTTTACAAGCTAAGGAAGTTTGTAGTGCAGGGAAAATACAAACGAAATATTCCAATGTGAGGGTTCCAACCTCACCCGCTGGACCCCGCCGCCAGGTAATACTCTTAGAATGGATGTCAATGGTTCTGTTGACAACCAAAGGCATGCGGTATGTGGAGGAGTCATACGTGACAAAAAGGGAAACTGGGTTCTGGGCTTTAAATGCTCGCTAGGGTTTTTACCTAGTGTATTAGATAAAATTCAAGTTCTGGTCTTGAAGTTTGCCAACGGTTTAATCTTAATCATGTTACCATCTGCTCGAACGCTGCTAAGGCTATATCTCTTCTTAGAACCGGTGTTTATGATAACCACCCAATGTGTGCTAAAATCAATTCAGCAAGAGACTTCCTATCCTCCAACTTCAATGTCAGACTAGTTTTGCTAGGCGTGAAACAAATAGGGTTGTGGACTGTTTGGCCAAGAATGCTCACTTGGAAAGTGATAATCTGATCGTGTTGGCAAATGTTCTTGCTAAATGCAGCGATCTAGTTCTTGTGGATAAGCTACAGTTTGCTTAGTTCGATTTGGGTTTATTTCCTTTCTAACTTTACTTAACTGTTTGTTTCTCCTTCAGGCTTTAGCCTATCGTATCTATTAAAAAAAATACTCGGTTTATTTAAAAATGTAATATATTTTTTAAAGAATCAAATATTTAA